AGAAGCTATATACACTGGCCAAGTTTTATGACCTGAATTAAACCACCAATTAAACCACCATTAAAAGATGATCCTATGGGGTTTGTGATTAATAAGATTAATTATAGAAAGTACTCAGCATGTGTTTGCCAAATGGTAATACTCTTTAACATAACCATTACTGTTATTAACAATAACAAATGTTTACTCTAATGCATTACATTTGGCATTTGCTTATAAATTATCTTACTTGGGTTTTCTATTTCCAGCACTATGGAGAAGATAACCTGAAAATCTACTTACTACATAACACCTTGAAAAGCTGGATAACAAACACTTCATGTCATATAATAAACATAAGCAGAGTTGAGATTTTAAGAAAGAAAAAGAGATCCCCAGGAGTGAAAAACTGAAGAGGAAACTACCTCTCATAGCTGATGTTGGTCTGGGCAATTACAGGGCTTGCTTTATTTCGCCACTGGAGGTGGGAGATGAGGTGTTGGGCTCTGGGAAGGACAACGGAACTCGAATTCCCTTCTAAAAAGCTGGGATCTTGGAAGAATCATATTGTCAGTTCAAAAAAAAGGGGGAGTGCCTGGGTGTCTCAGTTGGTTAAGCATTCAACTTCAGCTCTGCTCATGATCTCACGGTTCATGGTTTGTGCCCCATGTCCGGCTCTGTGCTGACAGCTCAGAGTCTAGAGCCTGCTTCAGATTCTGTCTCTCTCTGCCCCTCCCCTGCTCGCACTCTCTCTCTCAAAAATAAATAAACATTTAAAAAAATTAAAAAAAAAAAAACGGACTCAAAAATACAGAGACAATGGAAACTTAGCTTAAAAAAGAAAGTTTCCTGAAGAATTTGAAACCTTGGCCTATGTGAAGTCTGAACTTACTCTATTTGTGTGGAGTTTATTCTTCCTATGTGGCCTTAGAATCTGCAGCAGAGAAATTAACTTAAAACATAGTTCCAGGCTTAGAAACAAAGACACTCCTCCCTTTTTCCCTCGGGAGGAATACTAATTATTTCACTTAATTTTCACAACTGTCCTATGGAGTAAGTAATATTATCTCAGTTTATAAAAGAAATTTAAGTTAAGGGAGATTAAGCAAGGTTAAGCTAGGTTAAAGTCACCTAGCTATTATCTAACAGAGCTGGGATCTGAATCTTGTTGTCGTTCATTCAAAAAAAAATTTTTTTTTAATGTTTATTTATTTTTGAGAGAGACAGAGACAGAATGTGAGTGGGTTAGGGGCAGAGAGAGAGGGAGACACAGAATCCAAAGCAGACTCCAGGCTCTGAGCTGACAGCACAGAGCCCAACGCAGGGCTTGAACTCACGAGCTGTAAGATCATGACCTGAGCCGAAGTCAGACGCTCAACCAAATGAGCCACCTAGACGCCCCTGGTTGTTGTTCATTCAATCAAAATACATTTACCAAGTTCTATACTACGTGCCAAGCAGAAACAAGGTCCACTTCCTTCCCAATATATCACACAGCCTAATCTTTTTTGAGCAAATCAATAGATAAATGCAACTGTTTTCTTCTTTCTCAAGTTTAGCAATTCAGTGAGAATGAATGCAGCCAGAATCACAGGAAACCCACAGGATTCCCCTGGGCTCTGTCTGCCAAAGTGGTTCAGTCCTCTCTGCCAAAGGGACTTGGGTTGCTGAGACACTAAACTGGGAAGAAAAAGAGCAACTACTGCTCGGTAGGTCCTGGTTTTGGCATTAATTTCTTAGAGTAAACACACAACAATTTTAGTATATCGTAAATATTTTCAAACAGAAATTTCAAACTATTTACTATTAATGTTAAGTAGGGACAATAAGGCTGTTGTGATAAACATAAACATATGAAATTGAAAGTAATAACAGCTATAGTTATATCAGGCTCAACATCCAACATATTTGAATGTTTTTTTGAGTTGCCTCGCATTAAGAAAATTCTGATTTACAGACACAAGTAGCTACGACTATTTGTGTTTTTTAAAAAATTAACATGCATTCTTAGAAGCTTAACACACTGATCATCTTATTTGTATACATACTTTATAAAAATAGTTCTAAATATTTTTAATAAATCAAATCACATTACTTGAGGAATTTCTGAAGCACCTTCCTAGTGTTTTTACAGAGCAAAGTATGGAACAATTAGACAAAGGACACTTAGAGAACCCTCAAGTTTCTGTCTAGGAAGTTAGGATACACAGTAAAGTGCGAAGTTATAAGAAGGAACCAATACATTCCAAAATTCACTGCCAATGACTCTCTTCTGGGACAAAACTCTCTACTCCCTCTTTCACTTCCAATCCTGCCATGAAGACCATTATTAATCTACTTTTTGAGTGTCATTTCCCACTTTTCCCCTTTTCTTTTTTTTAATAAAGATTTTATTTCTTTTTTTAAGTAATCTCCTTCCCAGTGTGGGGCTCTAACTCATGACTCTCAGACCAAGAGTTGCATGTTCTTTTGACTGAGCCAGCCAGGCGCTCCCCCATGTTTCCCCTTTCCTGCTCTTTTCTCCAACTAATCTCAAGTAATGACTGTATGTAATCTGACCATACCTTCTTATTTCCCCATGTGTTTATTCATATTGTTACCTTCACCTTGGATCTATAATCACTGTATTCTTGAAGGCCCATGCTATGCTAAGCACCATCCTGGGCAATCTAAATACATTTTCTTATTTATTTCTATTACCATATGTTTTACCCATCTTTATTTATTTGTAAATAATAACATTTTTAAGTGCTTACTTTATGCCAGATATTATATGCTCAGTGCCTTACACTAGTTCATTTAATCCTTATGACAGCCCTAAATCAAAATAGTATCATACTGACACAAAAGTACACACATAGATCAATGGAATAGAATAGACAGTCCAGAAATAAACTCATGTTTATATGGTTAATTAATCTATGACAACGGAGGTAAGAATATACAATGGAGAAAAGACAGTCTCTTTAATAAATGTAGCTGGGAAAACTGGACAGCTACATGCAAAGGAATAAAAGTGGACCACTTTCTTAAGCCATACACAGAAATAAACTCAAAACAGATTAAAGACCTAAATGTGAGACAGGAAACCATAAAATTCTTAAAAGAAAACATCTCTCTGACACTGGCCATTGCAACATTTTTCTAGGTATGTCTCTTAAGGCAAGGGAAACAAAAGCAAAAATAAATTACTGGGACTACATCAAAACACAAAGCTTTTGCATAGTAAACCATCAACAAAATGGAAAGGCAATCTACCGACTGGAAGAAAATACTTGCAAATGATATACCCAAGAAGGGGTTAATATCCAAACTATATACAGAACTTACATAACCCAACACCAAAAAACCCCCAAATAATCCAATTAAAAATGGGCAAGGGATCTGCATAGACGTTTTTCCAAAGAAGACATATAAATGGCCAAGAGACACATGAAAAGATGCTCAGCATCACTCATCATCAGGGAAATGCAAGTCAAAACCACAATGAGATATCACCTCATGCTAAAATCAAAAACACAAAAAAGAACAAGTGTTGGTGGAAAAAAAGACCCCTTGTGTACTGCTGATGAGAATGCAAACTGGTGCCATCACTATGGAAAACAGTACAGAGGTTCCTCAAAAAATTAAAAACAGAAATAACATATGATGCAATAATTCAACTACTGTGTATTTACCCAAAGAACACTAATTTGAAAAGATATATGCATCTGTATGTTTACTGGAGCATTTTTTTCCAATAGCCAAATTATAGAAGCAACCTAAATGTCCACTGACAGATGAATGGATAAAAAAGATGTGGGGCGTGTGTGTGTGTGTGTGTGTGTGTGTGTGAATGGAGTATCACTCAACCATAAAAAAGAAGATCTTGTCATTTGCAACAACACAGATGGACCTAGAGGGTATTACGCTAAAGTGAAGTAAGACAGAGAAAGACAAATACCCCATGGTTTCACTTATATGTGGAATCTAAAAAATAATTAAACAAACACAACACAAACAGACCTATAAATACAGAGAACAGACTAATGGTTATGGTTGCCAGAGGGGCGTTGGATGGGGGATGCAAAATGGGTGAAGGGGAGTGGGAGATACAGGTTCTAGATATAAAATGAATTAAGTCACAAGGATAAAAGGGACAGCATAGGGATAGTCAATGATAATGTAATAGTGTAGTATGGTGACAGATGGTAAGTACATCTGTGGTAAGCACAGCACAACAGATAGACTTGTCCAATCAGTATGTTGCATACCTGAAACTGAAGTAATACTGTGTGTCAACTATACTTCAATTAAAAAAAACAAACACCTAGAATAAAGAGTAAGTGTGAGGAACAAAAAAAAAAAAAAAAAAAAAAAAAAGAAAGGAAGGAAGGCAGAAGGTAATATTATAATGGGAATACAAAGGCTCTGGAAGGTTAAAAAAATTTGCCTAAGGCCAAGTATGGGAGAGAATGATTCCAGGAAGAGTGCTCTCTGAGCTCAGAGCGGAGTTCTTAAAGAACAAGGTGATGCTATCAGGGGACAATGGCAGTCCAGACAGAGGGACAACATACACAAAGACTGAAGTAGGAAACAGCTTGGTATGCAGTTCAGGAAAAAGATCAGCTTTCAGGATCAGCAGACCTGGGCTCAAATATCTATTTTTGGTTTTGTTTTATGGCCTCTTACTGTGACTATGGCTTTCTCAACTGTCAAATGGTGATAAGAAGCTGTACCATGAAAAACTGGTTTAAAATTAAACATGATATGTGAAACTGTGCATCACAGGGCTAGGTCCATGGTAGGTATTCAATAAATGTTACCTCCCTTCCTTTCCCCTAGATGACAATTCAACAATCCTTAGTTGTAAGAATGTCATTTCCATCTCCACTGAACCCCAGACATATCTCTCTTCTACAAGTTCCCAAGCTTTACCAGGGCTTTTGGAGGCACAGTATACCAAAAGTCATTCAGCAAGTTATTTGGTAATGCCCTTAACCACCGTTTTTCAAAATGAGAACTATTTTCACACCACTTACCTGTGTAGGCCATGTTCTTAGGGTTGCCATAAGGAGCCCCAGGCTGCACGGGGCTATAAACAGGGTTCATTGTGGAAGACTGAGGATCCTATACAGAAACAAAGAAAATAGCACTGATTATTGATTGTTCATTTTCCCTGACATCAGTTTCCCTTCTATAATCTTCAACTTATACTCACAGAGAACAACATGGTATAGCAGAAAGAAGCAAAAAGCCATTTGTTTGTACTTGGCCCTATGCTATACACTTTTCTCCTTATACAAATGAAGATACTGAGAAGCAGAGAGGTGATACAACTTGCCTAATGTCAACCCAGACCTTTTGGCTTTTAGTTCAGAACCAGACCCACTATCCCACAGATGACTCTGCCACTGGTATACTGTGTGGCATTGGCCAAGTCACTTCCCCTCTCCAGACTCTAACATCGTGATGTCAATCAATTAGTTTAGATTCTCTGAGGTCTTTTCCAATGCTAAGGATGCCAGTCCGGGAGTTGGGAAAGGATGCACTTCTACTGTTCATCAGGGGAGTGTAAGAGCCAAACAACAAATACACAGACTATTAGGAAGAGCAGCAAGTGTCTCACCAACCCTTTGCACCTGCAGAGGACAAGATACCAGTTACTAACAGATTTGGGAAAAATGGAAATTTATCATCACTGAGAATTTTAATGCAAAACACAGTCAAGATCTCTTTCAAAATTTGTTCAACAGAAAGAAACCTGGAAATTTGTGTGCAGTAAGTATCACCTGCACAAGTGCTCTGTTAATTACCTTAATGAAGCACATTCTCCATTCTGATTAATGGAAAAATCTGTCATTAAACTCTGTTTTACAGCCCATTTGTCCTATCTTGTTTAGAGAACCATCTCTGACACATAGGCCAGTACATGTTTGAAAAACTTGTCTCTACAAATATATTACTTACACTTCATAAAAATCAAACAATTCTCTCCTAACTAGGCTCACATGATGGATGGGCAATTTTTTAGGTCATTAACTTCTCTTATAGCACCTCAGGACAGGAAACAAGTCAAATGTCAAGACAGGCAGTCAACAACTGGCTTGATGACAATTGCTCTGAGATTAATTAAGTCTCTCCAGGCTTCTGGAATGAGAGGTGGAGTAAAGATGGGTTCCCAAGGAGAGGAAGGCAGGGTGGTCAAACAGGCAAAAAGGAAAATGCTACTGGTTAATTCCAGAGGCTAGAACTTCCTGAAAGGTAGCCAATGGGCAGCCCTGGCATATGACCCCAAGGCAACAGGCTAGATTAAACTACTACCAGTAAATGAACTGAAAACTTGAGGATGAAGGTTACAGGATATATACATATTTCGGCACAATTTAAGGAGAAAATACCCCTTGCATCCAGAGTTATCTAAGAATATGGCCAGGTTAACATTCTCTCTCTAAATATAACCACTCTCCTTAACAGATACTGGGAGAATTAAAAAAGATCTCAGAATGTCAAAATATACCACCAACCGTCAGGTGGTCACACATGTAAATGATGATGGTGATGATGTGATGGCAGCAACAACACAGAAGACAACTTGTACACTTTTCCTGCCTTAGGTCTCTCGTCTACCCAACTAGTTCTTTGCTAAATAATGTGGCGTAAGCAAGACTGTTAAAGTGCTAAGCAGCACAACTGGCCCTGTAAACCTCTAGTCACGCTCCTAATAAGAAGGTAATCCATGTTGCTGATTGGGCAAGGTATGAAAATGTTTTTCATAACCAAAGAAACTCAAAAACTTTGGAAATGGTTTCCTCCTGCTCCAAAATGAGGGCCTCAGCCTCAAAAGGATATCTTGACTGGGGAGCACTCCACAACAGCATTGATTCCAAGCCCTACTGATGACTGACAGAAATGAGATATTCCATGGGTTCAAAATTTGGATTAAGAATGTGACAGCCACTTCTGGGGAAGCTGCTTGCAGGAAGAGACGGTCCCTGGCTTTCAAGGGTAAGTCAACCCTTTACGAGAGAATCCACATACTCTTAATAGTTTCAGGGACAGACTAAACATGAGTAGGAAGATCACAAGCTCTATGATCAGACAGATTTAGGTTCAAATCCTAGCACTGCCACCTACCAAATGTGGGACCACAGGCCACTAACCTTTCTGAGCTTCAGTTTCCTCTAGCCTCAAAATGGAAAATATTACATACTTTATAAAGGTGTTGTAAGGTTTTCTTAAAACAGATTTATTGAGGTATAATTTACATATAGTAAAACTTACCCCTGTGGGGTATATAGTTCTATGACCCCTGAAAATGTGCAGTCATACAAACACCACCACAAGTAAAATATAAAGCATTTTCATCACCCCAAAAAGTTCTCTCATCTTTGTATTCAATACCCTCCCACTGATTCCCAGCCTGTGACAACCACTGATCTGTTTTCTGTTGCTCTATATATACACACGTAACAACTTTTACTTTATAGATGAAATAAGTGAAGCTGAAAAAAGGTAATGAACAGCCCAAGGTCACAAAGCAAGTTAAGGGCAGGGTCAAGACTAGCACCCCAAATGGATCAAAGACCTAAATGAAAGAGCTGAAATACAAAACTCATACAAGAAGGAAGAAAATATAGGCATAAACCTTTGTAACCTTGGATTGGCAATGGTTTCTTAAATATACCAAGAGTACAAACAACCAAAGGAAACAAAAATACACTGGATTAATCAAAACTAAAAACTTTTGTGCTTTAAAGACACCATTAAGAAAGTGAAAGACAACCCAGAGAAGGAGAGAAATTTGCTGACCATATACAGTTGACCCTTGAACAATGCAGGGGTTAGGGGTGCCAAACCCCTGTGCAGTCCAAAATCTGTATGTAACTTTGACTCTCCCAAAACTTAACTACTAAGAACCTACTGCTGACTGGAGAATATAAACATTCGAATAACACGTATTTTGTCTATGTATTACATACTGTATTTTTGTAATAAAGCTAGAAAAAGAAAATGTTATTAAGGAAATCATAAGGAAAATACATTTACAGTATTATTGTACGGTAAAAAAAAATCCACGCGTAAGTGGACCCACACAGTTCAAACCCATGTTGTTCAAGGGTCAACTGTATAGGATAGCGGATTAGGGTTTTTTTAAGGTGTTGTTGTTGTTGTTGTTGTTTTAATTCTGAGAGAGCAAGAGCACAAGTGGGGAAGGCGCAGAGAGAAAGGGGGACAGAGGAAATTCCAAGCAGGCTCTGCACAGACAGTGCAGAGATCGACATGGGGCTAGAACCCATGAACTCTGAGATCATGACCTGAGGTAACATCAAGAATCAGATGCTTAACTGAGTCACCCAAGTGCCCCGGGTATTGTATTTGTATATAAATATAAATATCTGTATTTAAAAAATATAAAGAACTCTTATCTTGGGGTGCCTGGGTGGCTCAGTCAGTTAAGTGTCCGACTTCCACTCAGGTCATGATCTTCCGGTTCATGAGTTTGAGCCCTGCATTGGGCTCTGTGCTGACAGTCCATATCCTGGAGCCTGTTTTGAATTCTGTCTCCCTCTCTCTCTCTGCCCCTCCCCCAGTCGCTGTCTTTCTCAAAAATAAATAAACATTAAAAAAATTTTTTTGGGAAAAAAAACAACTCTTATCTTTACTCAATAATAAAAAGGCCAATAACTCAATTAAAAAATGGGCAAAGGATCTGAACACACATTTCTTCAAAGAAGTTATATAAATGATATAATGAAATACTACTTCTATACACTAAATGGCTAAAATAAAAAGATAACAAAAAGTGTTGACAAGTGTGTGAAGAAAATGGAACCCTCATACAAAGCTGGTGGGAATGTAAAATGACACAGTCACTTTAGAAATAAATCTGATAGTTCCTCAAATAATTAAACAGAGTTACGATATAATCCAGCAATGCCACTCCTAGGTATATAACACAGAGAAATGAAAACACATGTCCACATGAATGTTCACAGCAGCATTATTCATGATAGTCAAAAGATGGAAACAGGGGTGGCTTAGTCAGTGAAGCATGCAACTTTTTTTTTTTTTTTTTTTACATTTATTTATTGTTGAGAGACGGAGAGACAGAGCACAAGTGGGGAGGGGCAGAGACAGAAGGAAACAGAATCCGAAGCAGGCTCCAGGCTCTGAGCTGTCAGCACAGAACCTGACGTGGGGCTCGAACTCACAAACTGTGAGATCATGACCTAAGCCGAAGTTGGACCCTCGACCAACTGAGCCATCCAGATGCCCCGAAGCATGTAACTCTTCATTTCAGCTCAGGATGATCTCATGGTCAGTCAGGGATCAAGCTCTGCATGAAGCCTTCTTGGGAGTCTCTCTCTGCCCCTCCCCCACCTCACTCTCTCTCTCTCTCTCTCTCAAAACAAAAACAAAAGAGGGAAACAAATGTTCAACTGGTGAATGGATAAATGGAATGTGATACATCCATACAATGAAATATTTGGCAATAAAAAGAAATGGAGTATTGATACATGATACAACATAAATGAATCTTGAAAACATTACATTAAGTGAAAGAAACCAGTCACAAAAGGTCACATATTACATGATTCCATTTATATGAAATTTCCAGAATAGGCAAACCTATACAGACAAAGGTAGATTAATGGTTGCCTAGATTAGTTAATGACACATGAAACCTAGTAACTTCCAAATCCACATTTTCTCACAATAATTATTATAACATAACACTCAACCACACATCCACACCCACATACACCCTACTTTCGTAACATTTCTTCCTGATCTTAAGCAATTCAAACCCACCATACCCAAAAGTAAACTCAGAATCTTTTCCCAGCCCCCTTCTTTCATCCTGTATTGCCTGTCTCAGAGTTACTGACAATCCATCCACCTAGCACCTAAGACAAAAACCTGGAAGTTATCCTAAATGCCACCCACTCTTTCACACCTGATCATGAGCTCCCAAAAAACCCTACTGCCCCTGTTTTAAGTTTCATCATCTCTTGTCTAAACTACTACAACAGTGCCAAGAAGTCTATTTTTCCACAATCTAACCCAGTCTACCTCATCCTTGATATTCATTATTAAAACAAAGGTTGGATGGGTTACTCTCCTCA